AATAGCTGAATACAGCAAAGAGCAGGTGAGGCAGGTGTCACCAAGGGTAAGAGTTTGGTCCCTCTTTACAGGTAAAAAAGGTGGACTTGACCCATTCTTTCACTTTCTGTACAGCTCAACCCAACTCCCACGGAGGTAAACGGGAATCATGTAATTGACTTCAAATGGGCATTTGAGCATGCCTTAGGCCCTGGCATGACAAGCTCATGCTGTGAAAGTTAGTGGAAACTAGCTATTATATAGTATTGTCACATAAATACACATTTACAAACAGTGGTACTTAGATATGAGTTTCTCTATGGAAACAAACTTTATGTGGAAAACAAACTTTCCCATGCAATTTCCATTCATCTAGCAATGACAAAGATCAAATATCTTCCTGTCACAATTTGCTGCATTTAGCAAGTGTCACTAATTACCAGGCCAGATTCTGTGATGTTTCTTGTTCCTGTGAAAGCCCAAACAAAAAAATCCAGCCCTCATTATTTATCATACTGTGGCCAAACATTTTTTTCAGCCAAGCTCCAACGTTCAAGCTTATCTTTAAATTAGTGCAAGTCCCTGAAGAAGTACAGCAGGGAACTGTGAAATAAAGCTGAAACCTTGTGGAATGTAAACTGCATGTGATTTGACATGAGAAGAAACTACAGCATCACAGAGACAAGACTCCTAACTAAAGCTAAGATATAAATTTGCCTGAAATACTAAGTCTCTATAAAACCTTTAAAAATGTATGAATTTATTATGAGTGAGGCATTTTTTCCATCAAAACTCTCTGCTATCTTCTCATCCATAACTGCGAGGGGCACCAACCAGATCACTCAGGCAACATCCCCTAATTTTAAGGGGCTACATCTGACTCTTCATAATCTTTCTGTATAATGGGTTGGAAAATCAGTTACCTAGTAATTTTGAAAAATCTCATATATGAATTAGACAGTGTTCTGATTTTGTCAGTTTGTGCCACTGCCAGATAAAATGCATAAAATCAGGCTTCAGTCCTCTCCTCTAAAGAGAGATCAGCTGGTCATCAATGGAATAGATTATTCACTTTTATCACTAGCACACTTGTATTCCGTGAAGATACGAGAGTAATCTGCTCTTAACTTTAAACTGCTACTAATTAAAAATCAATACCATCTCCAAAATCAACATTACATTATTTTCCCCTCCTTTCTTTTACTGTGTGAGATAATAGAAAACCTAGACATTCTACAGCTAATGTTGGACGTATGACTAACTTGTTGGAAAAGAAGTACTACCTACCACTTAAGAGCCTCACTGTTATTTTTAATTAGAAGAGGTAGGGTTAATCAGTAATTTTGTGTACGTTAATACGTATGACAAGTAATTTTTTCAGAAGGGGAACAAAACCAGAAAGAAAAGTGTACTTTAAGCATTAGACTGTGCTGTGGAGTGACTTCAGAAGAAAATGTGTCTGAGAACAAGTGGGATACTAACTTAGATGTCTTCATTGAGACAAGTATTAAAAATTAGTGGGACAAATTCTGTACCCAAAGACTTAAATATCAAATTTCACAATGGCTTTAAGGGACTTAAGACTGAACTGACAAAGTGATAAACTCCATTTCAGCTTGTTTCTTGTATAATCCACACTGATTGCTTTAGCTAGACAATATAAGATAGGGAGAATACCTTTGAGACCTGACTAAAATAATTAGATACACAACTCATTATGAAATTAATGGCAGCTGCATGGCTGAAATCCAGTAGCTGGGTTTGAAAATGTTGAATTCTGAAGGCAATGAATTTCAGGCAGAAAGCAGCCTGGGTTTTTTTCATACTGTCACCTATCTACATTATGAAAGGAATGAGCAATTTCTGCAAACAGTTCACACAAAGCTATGACACAAAACCAGCACACTCTGACTTTGCCTTCAGGCAGAGTAAAACACTATATAAACAATTTGACCACTCTGAAATGTCATGAAGTACAGCAATGTATGCTTTTAAGGTTCTTTAACCAGTAGTTTAAAGGGTTTGGATTTGTAGAAATATATACAGATACAGGTGTATTATGACATTTAAATGGTTTATTTACTAGGAACTGTATTTCTATGTATGTTCCAGTCTTTGTAGTGGAAGAGATTCTGTGGGATAAATGTGTACAGATAGGTAATTAAATATATGCACATACTGTATAACTGTGTTCATTTTAAGTGGACCTTTGAAAAAATGCAGTGTCATGTCCATTTTTTTCAAGTCAAAGGTATGAATCCAGCACTCCTTTGCAGCAGTTATAAATTTATGTCATAATAAAGCTTTGCTGAACACACAATATAGCAAAGAAGTACTGGGATCTTAATGTAAATGATACGTCACTACACTGTAATATCACTATAGTTGATTTACTGTGTTGTCACCATGAATTACTAGTCTCAACCATACTAGCAAGAATACACCTTTATATACATATACTTTATTCATATCTATATTAAATATGTATCTCATCAGTTCACGTAATAATCATATTTCAGGATCTCAAGCATTCAAGGAAAAGAATATACAAGGATTATGCAAATCCTGAAGCAAAGTTTCCTCTTTATCAAAAAGTACCTAAAACCTTTTTTTTTTTTGGGGGGGGGGGTGGGGGGGGCAGGTTGCTGTTGGTTTTTTGCATAGCTATGACATACTACATACATATATTGTACTGTGTATGCATATAAATACACATATGGAGCACTGCATAACAGTAGCCCTAGAATTCTTAATTATTGTGGAATTCCATACTTTTTTTTTAAATCTGGGAAAAAAAATCAGGAGAAATACTTTTGTAGAAAAATGTTTTCAAATTCAGCTGCAATAATATATTATTGGCAGTCATTAGAGAACTTTGAGATAGGATGTAATCGGTGACAAATAATTTAGGTTGGCAGAAATGCTGCAGACTATCAGAATACCTTATTGTACATTTAAAAAAAAAATCTACTATGAAACTCAGTATGATCAAACATTTTGAAACATTTGCTTCATCTTTTGTTAGCTTCTGGTATAGTTTCTCTAAATGGAGAGACTGATAAAAAGAGGTTGGTGTCACTGTCTTTCTGACCAGCTCTTACAAGGCGGGGATTGATAATCTCCGGGGAAGAAGAATTTATTGCAGTTTCCAACTAGAATTTTCTGGATTACTGCGATAGAAATTAGCTCCCACACTTCAAAGTACAATCCCAAATGTATTACTTTTGCTTAATATTATTGCTGATTTTAACTGAAAAAATCATTACTACAGATGAAAAAAAATAACATTTTCCGTGTCTCTGTGCAGCCAAAGTTACACCTACTGCTAACCAATCTTAGATTGCTGACACTAATCTCCCAATCCTGTCTACCCAAAGAATAATACTCTCTTTGTATTACTCTCTTGGGGTTTGTCTAATGTGTATATTTTCTTGAATTGGTTCCCAATCCAAAACAATTTTTATTCATCATCTTCATTTAAATAAAAGATCAATGTTGCTTTTTTTTACTTTTACTTTTCTTACTTTTCTGAACATTAATGCCTCGTATACAAATGACAAATCCCTGTAGCATTCTTGGCTATTTTTGCTTTCAGTATTCTTTTTTCCTATTCCTTTAAGACATTGTGATTAATCATTGTTAACATTAACTAATGCTAAAAATGATTTTTAGAAGATGTTAACATAAAACTTTCTTCAAAGTGGTCATAGCCATTTCATAATAGCACTGGCCTAAAGAATCAGTCATTGATAACCACCAGAAGTGGTGTGCCGTTCCTGCATCATTCTGATTCAGATTTTCATCTCTTGCTCTTGCAGTCATATTCTTTTTTACTCTTCCTGCCCGTGATTCAGTCCGTTGGTTATGATGATGTTAAATTCAACCAGCATATAAAAATGACCCTGTTTAGTTTCCATTTCTCTGTGTGCTTCTTGCAGCTTTCTATGGGAGCCATTCTTCCATGGCAGCCTGTCAGTTATCTTGTGACATTTCATCAATCTTCAAGCAGTTTCCATTATTCATGGATAATTATGACACTTCTACCACAAAACTCCTAAGACCCCCATTGCCTAGTAATTCACAGGGTTTTTAAACATTTCTCCAAATGTAAGACGTTTGCTAAGACATTCTTCTAATATGGAAAAAACTACTGGGTGCACAGATTCTGGGGCTTTTTCACTTCGAAGCCCCATTCCGTCTCCTGAAAGAGGTTAGCATAGTATATGCTGGATTAGGCTCCCCAGAGTTAGTCCATATCTTTCCTCTGAACCTCTGGGAAGAGAACAGGCAAGACTGCTCATGACTTTTATAACATAACACAGCAAGATTGTAAGAGGAAAAAAGGTGCGAAACGCAGTAGTCTTTAAGATACTGGCCACAACATGATCACTAAACAACTATATACATCTATAAAGTAATAGGCTCTCAGGGACAGTCGAGTAACTGCACTTGTATCTTCTTGTGGAACAGGGTAGCAAAAACTACCCTTGCAGATCTTTTTCCATCTCCATCAGATGTAATAAAAGAAACATACTATCTTTATATAACCTTGGCATATACATGGTCATGCTATATCTTGAAATGTGGAAAAACAATACAGCAGTGGCAAAACATAAGCCAAATTCATAGTGTTTAGCAAAATGCAGTACTCCCCTATTACTATGTCTTCTATGTGAACTTAAGCTTGTGGTGTTAAATCAGCATCTCAGTTCCGTTTGGCTTGATTGCTTTCTCCATTAATCAGATTCTTCTCTTGTTGTTCAGCTAAGGATTGCCATTTCTGCCTATTTTTTCTACAGCCATCCAGTAAAGGGTAGCAGGCCTCTGACACATGCGTTAGGGCCTGAAATGAATTAAGAACATGTTAAACAGGTTACATTTAACAACAAAATAAGTGTTCTTAAAGATGACCGTGAGAGAGACCAGAAGGATTGAAATACAAGGTCTATCTATAATTGAAACTGAATTTTGAACTTCAGGGAAGGCTTTCTGCTGCACATCAAACATGAACGCAGTTACCTGGCACTAGTGCAGATTAGACTGAGCGGCAGTGTCCATACAGCACTTGATACATAGGTGCAGAATAAGTTTGTTGTGTTACGCGCAAGTGACCTGTCCAGTATTCCTAGTTAAGTACTATGCATGGACTTTGTCTGCAAGCCAGTCCTTTAATGTATAGCAAGGTTGGTCATAAGAATGACCTTGGAATGGTAATTAGACACAGAGCAGGTATAGTCAATGGGACCATATTCACTTACGGCGTATCAACTGATTCAGAGGAGTTCTCCCAGAAATATTTGAATTCAAGACAGTTAGCACATGATAGATAGATTACATTTGACACTTTGTGCCTTTTAGGAGTAACTGTGACTGAAGTCAATCAAGTATTTTTCATGATGTGGCTGTGTTACTGTATCAGAGTGAAGGAAAACTGGATTCTGATATTTAAATACAGAATTGAAAAAATAAAAGAACAATTCATAGCATTTTTATACGTTTTTCTTTCCTGATGGAAGTGATAAAAATGTATCCTCACACTAGGACAGTCAGGCCTTACTTGCATAAAGGGTTCTTTGGAATCAAGTCACATTATTCAGAAGTGTAAAGTGGGAGTTTGATAGTTCAGACAGTGCAGGACAACAAGGTACAGGAACGAGTGTTTGAGCCCACTGATTCTGTAACTACTATGACCGACTGCAAAGCACACAGAGAAGAATCCTGGCCCCTCCGCTGGTCACTATACAAAACATAAAATCAGTCAGAATTTCACATGGAATTCAGGTCTCATTCAAATAACGTGAGGTAGCGATGTCTAATTCTCCTGTAACTTTACATAGGGACCTTACGGAATCATCAGCTTGTATAAATCTTCATAGTTCCTTTTGGCTTTATAGGCTGCTTTATTAGTTCCAGTAGACTTAATCGAATTATTCTCGATTTACACCACTATAAGAATGGGGCTGTCAAGTATCTTTGGAGTTTTCCTCTTTTATTTATCTGAATATATCTAAACAGCATTTAAAACTGCTAAATGGTACTTTTTTCAATTAAAAATGAAAAGAATGAAACACATTTCTCTTATTTTTTCAGATTTCTGAACTTAAAGTGAAGACTTGTAGATCATTCAGTTTAACTGCACTGGTTACCTAGCTAACACAAGCCACAAAACTTCAGTTCATTGGGATCTGACCTACTCTGAATAACATGGTAAGTCACATACTTGCAGTGCTGTATTGGGAACTCATCTCTGTTTGCATTGCATCCTACTGACTGGATGAAAGCTAAGAAAACAGTGAAAAAGCTGTCATTACAACCCTGTTTATTGTTTACTTTTATAGCATTAGAATGTTGGAGAGTGAACTGTGTGCTTGTTCATTTTCAAAGTAACACTGAAGTTGTTTATATGTTTTACCATTTATTACTCATTGAAGAAAACAAAAATCTGTGTAAGCAGGTAATATCCCCTACTTGTACTCCAGTCAAAATAAACAAATGCTGGATCAGCTCAAACCAGAGCCCCTTCCTTGGATTTACCAGTACTGTTACGGGTTTTGTCACTTCCTCATAGGCTCCCCATCCTCTTTAGTGCTCTCTGCCCCTGCAGCTAAGTCAGGTAAGTAAGCACTTATCTGTCAGGTTAGGACACATGCTGGCATACTCTGAGTCTATATAAAGTCCCAGACACTGTCAGCCTGCTACGTGCTGTTCCAGTTCAGGTCAGACTTTGAGACAAGATGACAACAAGTAAGAGTGATACACTGAAAGCTGTAAGAGGCGACATGTTCTGAATAAAAAGATGCTGCTTAGACACCCTCCTGTGGACGTAGCATCTCCTTCCTTCTTCCCCAGTTAAAGAGAAGGGAGAAGACTCCAAACATTTGTAGGTGCTTTTGACTGCTAACCAGGAATGGCTTTGTATTCACTGTGGCATAACAAAGCTGCAGTTACAAAGCAGGGGCATGGTAGCTAGAAATTACTCATGCACCTCATTTCCTTGCAGGAAGTGTACAGGAGCTGAGTACCGTTTCGACTAATACCACTTGGTAACTGTTGATGTAAGCTGCAGTGTGTATTTCAGAGTAAACAATTGAAAATTTTCTGGTCTTTTCATAAATGGAAAGGTAAAGCCCTCCCCTAACAAGAAAAAGTATAGAAGTTCAGGCTCTGGAGCTGTGGGCATTCAAACCTGCTCAGGTGTTCTGTTCAAAGAATTTTCTGTTTGTGTAGTCTCTACCTTTCCACAGCTACTCGGTCTTCTTTCAGTGGCCTACCTCTCACTGGAGACAGTTTTCTGAGGCTTCCCAGCAAAGGCTGCCTTATTTTCCTGACAAACAGTTTCTACAGGACAGAAACATGCGAGTTTTGGGGGCAGCAGCTAGTAGCTCCCTCTCCTTCCTCTATCCTTGTTTCCTTCCAACTGGTGAACGTGGATTCTTTTTAGAAAAGTTTACTGTGTAAGAGGGAAAAATTTGAGTAATCACCTTGCTCCTCGCACTGGAAGATTCTTAAGAGTTAGGCTATCTGTTCCTCACCTTTCTTTTTCTCACCTCAGCTCCTGTAAAATACTTGCTACAGTCCCAATGAACAGGCTTTCACTCTAGTGCTTTACTGGTTTAAAAAAATCAGAAATCATTATGTTTTGTTTCACACTATATCTGACCAAGTATCTGCTTATACAGTTTGTAACCAGGATGAAAAACATTTCAATGAATTCTCTCATGCACTGCTTTTGTGTGTGATGAAAGAGAAAGAAAAAAATGGGATGGGAAATGTTAAACTTGCATAAGTTTCCCATGCACAGCATATCACCTTTTGCATGAAGAATTCTGAATTCTTTAAAACTCTTAACACTTTTTATCAATGCACTACACGGATACCATTCTTTTCCTTGATAGCAAAGCATTAGTTTTGTGACTTTCCCTGATGATCATAGCAGCTCACTGGAATACAGAATATAACCCAGGGATCTAACACCAAGTGCACAGAGCACAGCAATTACCACTAGGTTTTAAAAAATTGTAACAAAATACATTAATCAGACAAACATACCATTAATGATAAATACTAAAATAATAATTTCTTCAACTGAATAATGAACCATATATTAAAAAAAAAATCTTTTTTAACTAAGGGACTAGTTTTTTATTTGGTTTTTATTCTAATTTTAAATCTGCGTCTATTAGAGGCTACAGTGAGCAGTTCTGGGTTTTGATATTTGCAATTCTTTCTTAGGCACCATACCTCATACAGCTGCAAACAAACAGCATCTATGAATCCAACCTGCATGCTGGGAATTTTATTTTTCTTCTCTCTGTTCATTAGATCCTGCAGATAAAAAGTAAACAAGCTCTGTGTTTAAATGCATTAAATAAAAATGCAACCAAAACCAAAGAGACAGCAGGATTTAAAAAGCAGCACCTTAAAAAAGCACAGCAAGCTCAAAACAGCAGGGTATCAGTACATGTGTTAAAATGCAGGTAATCTGACTGCATGACTTGCCTTAGGAGATTGGTTTTGGACTGACAAGAGCCCAAATAGCTAGACGAATAGACAAGCTTACTGGTTTTGGATAGGTTGCAACTAGATACCAATTTAGGAATGTATTTCATAGACAATTTAGTAATACCAGTTTAGAAGAAAGAATGCTGTCTGTTCTTCTTGCTCAGAGCTAATGACACACTGTTGGTGTTTGGGAACCGCAGAAGAAAACTGACTGCTAGGAAGACAGGGCAGGAGTTGGTCCTATATTCTGGTCAGTGGGAGAAACTGTGGCTTTTGAAAGGAATGTGAAGTGCTGTTTATAGAAACCATTTTGAAAGAGGCGATTCTGCATGGTTCTGCCACTTACTGTTGGTTCTATGTTGAGTTCCTTCCGTTCTTTATCTCCTTGATCAAAGAACTCAGTAGCTACAAGCTCAGCAATCTGGAAGAGATTTCACACATTGAGAGCTCTAAAAGTTTGCTTGCAACCTACAATCAAAACTGTTTCCTGTATTTCCTATCTCTCTTTCGGATGTATCGAATTGGGACCCCCCATAACAAGACTCTCCAGCTTAACAGCTAGCTTTTAGAATTCTTCATGCACACATCTGTGCACAAGCAAAACACCTGAGCATGCAGATATTTACTCTGACAAAGCAAAGTGAACAAAATGGCACATAGGCATCCTACCACCGATAACAGTTGGAATGATCAACACATAGAAAAAGGTCAGGTGATACTAGCATGTTGTATCAATTGACTGCCTTGTAGTAACAGAGGAATGTTGGAAAGAACAAAGATTCCTGATTTACCTTCAGATTACTGCTAACATGGTGACATAGCTAAATGCACAGATCTTGCTACAAAGACCTGAGAAAGTCTTCAATCCACATACAGCACTTTGAAGGACTGCTTCCTAAGGCTCTGCATTCCACCACTGCCTTTGCAATAAGGACTGGATGGAGGAAACAGAAGCTGTTACGTGGAGTTTGTATTTAGCAAATGTTAAAATTAAGCATATACCCGTTGCTGAACTGGCCATGGTTTGGTTATGGCTGATAAATCACAAGCAGTCATCAGCATTGCTCTGTAGAAAAAACAAAAAGAAATCTATGAATTACTGTATTGTGAAATGTATGTAGCCACCAAGTCAAGTGATTAGTAACATAGAACAGAAAATTTCAAGGAACATCAAACTCAGAAAAACAAGTGAAATTAAAGCAAAGTTATAAAGGTATCCAAGGCTCGACGATGTAGTAGACTTTCACCTGTGTGAAATGAGCACACAGAAATGAGCAAATCTGGACTGGCTCATTTGGTTGGATTCACGTCAAATAAACTGTTTCGTTCTATTTGCTACTGGACAGACAGCACATTTATTTATTTCTGACATTAGCAGTGACTGCCATCTTCATTGACGGTATGAGGGCCAAGGACTGAAATAGGAGTAGACATAGAGCATGACTAAATTAGACTGGTTTTTAAAGGCACTGAATTTGAAATATGGCATCCTTCCTTTCTTAGACAGCCTATGTAAGCCTGCTTTTCTGTAGCTGTGCGTTACAATATGTGTCTCTATTCTTAATCTTCTTTTTTATTCACTGTCAGTAAGGAATCAGCTTCAAAACAAACTGCCTGTCCTGAATTTTTAGTTATTGGTTTCAGCAATTCAATATTGAAGTATCAACAGCAAAAGAACATGGTACCTAGACAGGAACCCTACACTCTTTAGGAAGAACAGAAATGCTCATGTAACTCCATGTGCTACTTAACAAAGTTTATTATTCAGGTTGCAGACTTAGTAATTCAGACCCAGGGAGTCACTCAGTGACCTGTGTGCCAGTGCCAGTTCGTACAGGCCCAGAGCACGCAGATCTGCTGGTTTTAATGAAATTCACAGCAACACGGCATGGAAAATTGGGTACCTAATAATATTAACCAACTTATTAATCATTCTGCTTTTACTTACAAAAATAGCTCCTTCTGTGTAGGATCTTCCCAGTTAAATTGCTTCTTCCGTAGAAGTTCAAAAAATTCTCCTCTCCTCCTTTAAAAGAAGTTAAAACACAAGATTTTGCAGCATGCTGACACAATCCAAACATCCAGCAATGACTATCCAGCCAAACTTGCCTCTGACTTACTTACTTTATGTATAGTGCTAGGTCTGTGGCAAGAATGGCTTGTTTTATCATTTTCAGTGTGGCCTTGTATTCTTCAATGGAAAGGCTGCTGAGAATCTGATTTCCCTTTACAAAAAAACAAAACCAGTGTTATCAGTAAAATGGGCAACAGCACACCAGTTTGCTAAAACGTCTCTTAGATACTAAATCATTATGAGTTGCTTGCTGATATCTGATGTCATTCTTTTACCCTGCTTCCTTTTGCAGATTCCCCAATTTAAAAATAAAAATTCCAGTCTTCTTGAGTACTGGCAGAAAGCCGCACAGCAACAGCATCATAATTGACTATTACAAAATGAAACTGCAAGCAGAGCAACATCAAAGCCTTTAAGTCCATTTCATTCATCAAAATTAAATTTGCCACTAGCTATATCGTAGCATTTCTCTTTCCTCTTCCCCCCACTCCCTGAAGCAGAGGAACTATAATAGATTCCAGTACCTGCCTATACATCTCTTGTAAATGAAAATATTTTCCTTTTATGAAGCAACATAAATAACAAGCTATTACATAGAAATATAAGCTCAGCAGCCCACTGTTAAACCAAAGCACTATGGAGCTGGTGAAATGGCACCTTGCCTCCACTTTTTTCCCATGTTTTCCTGTCTGAATAGGAAAGAATCATCACAATACAAAGGATGCCGGAAGCACCATACCTGTGATACGAAATGAGCAGTGAAAATATACTGCTTTGGAATGATTGTGCATGCTGAGTAACTGGTCTCAGAATTAGTTAATAATATAAAACAAGAAGAATGTAGTTTTATTTGCATATTTACTTAACTTAGGTTTGGCTTCACTTTGGAATGTCAACACTAGCAGTGTTTGGTTTGGCCTCATCAGGACTGCTTTGTGTATGTGTAGGCTGGAATGTTTTTTGAAATGAGCAAGGACTTGGGTTTGTTTGGTGGTTCAGAAGAGGTCATGAAAATGGCAACAAAGTCTTTTGTTCCCTTTGGTCCAAGGAACCAGGTACTCAAAAGGATATTAGCAAGGCTTCCCTTACCAGACAACACTTGGAAAGGTTTGGTGGCACTCAGCAATGGAACTGTGATTTCAAAACTGTTGCATTTGCTTTCTTTACCCAAAAAGGAATAAAGATCACTTAGGAATGTATAAGGGTGGGAATCTATCCAAAAGCTAAAAATAAAAAGTAAAATAGGGAATAGTTTCCTTCAGCATACACAAAAATGTGGCACTCACTGGACTATTCAGGATCATAAGGCATTGATCAAAATGATGATGCTCCATGATTGAGTGGCAATACAGTTGAGCCAGTGGATGTTCGCTTCTGAGGAGTAAAAAGACCCATCAGATGGAGAAATCAAATTAAACATACTACTAATCCAGAAATAACTCCCCTTTTAATGTCCTCTTCTCATTATCTGTTTACCCCTACCCACCCATGGTTGCTCTTAAGCAGTTCCTTTCCCCCTTCCGTGTAACTGGCCAAACAAAATGATTGCATTTGGAAGGATGCAGGGGGAGTACAGATAAAAAGACCGTGCTGTTACTTTGACAGAGAACTGACAACTCTAGTTTCTGCCTTCCGTTACCTGTAGAGACCAGCTGCACACAAGGAGTGAGAATGTAATGCAAGGTTTTATAAAGAGTGAAAGTTCTTGTATGAAAAGGAAAGACAACAAGAAGGGTTGTAACATTTTAAACACCTGCCTGGCATATTTGGTCAGCTCAACTACTGAGCTTGTAAGTAATAATGCAGACCTAATTGGAAGCCCACTGATACCGATGGAACAATT